CTGGAAGAGGGGTGCAGGGCCCTGACTCCCCCACACTCCACGACACATGGTACGCCCACATCTTGAATACTGCGTGTAGATGTGGTCGCCCCATCTCAAAAAAGATATATTGGACTTGGAAGAGGTTCAGAAGAGGGCAACAAAAATGATTAGGGGTATGGAATGGCTTCCGTATGAGCAGAGATTAATAAGACTGGGACTTTTCAGCTTGGAAAAGACGACTTGGGGGGAATATGATTGATGACTATAAAATTATGACTGGTGTGGAGAAAGTAGATAAGGAAGGGTTATTTACTCCTCCTCCTAACACAAAAACTAGGGGTCACCAAATTAAATTAATAGGCAGCAGGTTTAAAACAAACAAAAGGAAGTATTTCTCCACACAATGCGCAGTCAATCTGTGGAACTCCTTGCCAGGGGATGTTGTGAAGGCCAAGACTATAACAGGGTTCAAAAAAGAACTAGATAAATTCATGGAGGAAAGGTCCTTCAATGGCTATTAGCCAGGCTGGGCAGGGATGGTGTCCCTAGCCTCTGTTTGCCAGAAGCTGGGAATGGGTGACGGGATGGATCACTTGATGATTCTCTGTTCTGTTCATTCCCTCTGGGGCACCTGGCATTGGCCACTGTCGGAAGACAGGATACTGAGCTAGATGGATGTTTGGTCTGACCCAGTATGGCTGTTCTTATGCCTTGGTGAGTCGCGTATTCCCCAAAAATGCGCTCACTGCAGCATTCTGAAGGCCAGATGGGCACTGCTACTGAAACTCTCTGATTAACAGTGCAGGGACACACCGACACCTGAGTTGTAGCACTCACAGAGACACACATCTCAAAGAACCTGTTACGTTACTGCACAGGGTGAGTAACCTTCTCTTACAGTGACAGACTGAGGGCTTGTCTAAACTGAGAGTTAGTGCACAGAAAGCTGGGATGTAAATATACAGCACAGTAGCTTGTTGTGCACTAACTGTCTGTGTGGATTCTGCTACTGTGCACTAGAAGTTCCGTCGTGCTCTTTGATCTAATGCTGGACAGGAGACCAAAGCACGCGACAGGACTGTTCGTGCATGGCAGAAGGGTGCATGGCCAGTTAGTGCTGTGGCAAGGAAGTGCCACACACTAACTGTCCGTATAGGACAAGCCCCTAAAGGACTCGGTCTGTTCACCTTGTCAAAAAGAGATGGCAAGGTGCCTTGACTCCAGTATCTAAATATCTTCCAGGGGAGACAATACGGGACATTAAAGGGCTCTTTAATCTAGTGGAAAAAGGCACACAAACATTTACGGCGGAAGTTGAAGCCGGACAAATTCACATTAGAAATAGTTTTTTACAGTGAGAGTAATTAACCCTTGAAACAAACTCCTAAGTGAAGTGGTGGATTCTCCAACTCTTGATGGCTTCAGATCCAGACTGGAGGCCTTTCTGGAAGGGATACTTTAGCCAAACACAAGTTATTGGGTTAAAAAGAGGGGGAAACTGGGTGAGATTCTCTGACCTGTGCTCCACAGGTGGTCAGAGCAGGTGATCTAATGGTTCCTTCTGGTCTTAAACTCTAGAATCTGGGAGGTTATTTTGAGGAGAGCTGTATCTTAGGAGCCAACTGAACAAATGGCCCTAAATGTACACCACAATCTGTACCCCAGGCCCTCAACTGGCATACTAAGGGCTTGTCTACACACTGTTTTTATACCGTTTTAACTTTATCAGTTTGAAACTTGTTAAAGTGGTACAACCCTTCGTGTGGAGGCAGACTGTTATAAAGGTCCATCAGTGACTATTAGTCAGGATAGTCAGGAATGCAACCCCATGTTCTGAGTCTCCCTGACAGGGTACTGGGCTAGATGGACCTTTGGTCTGACCCAGTCTGGACATTCTTATGTTCTTAAATCTTTATACTGTTATAGCTTCTTGCTGTGAATGTGGGGACTGTAAATTCAAGGCACCTTTCTACCAGTTGATCTGTGTCCACACTAAGGATCATGCTGATTTAGCTCTTTTGATAAAGAATCGCATCCCTAACCAAAATAGTGAAATAGGTACAAACACTTTGTGTCCATGTTCGTGGATCCGCAGGATCGGTGCTACACCCCAGCTTTGGAAGGGGCTCTAGGAGGAACCCGTCAGTGGGCCAGACCCCCAACGGGTCTCACTCTTCCTCCAGGGGAAGCCACGCAGCTTCACTGCCTCCTAAGACTGAACCTCTGGGCCGTCAGCGCCCCTGCTCCACCCCGTGAGCTCCTCCCACAGCGACAGACCCTGAGGGAGACTTGTCCATTCTTCAGGGACTAATGCACTTCACCCAGCATCTGCAGGGACACTCCCAGCACAGAAGAGTCGGGTATTTGTTAACTGGACACAGCACGGGAAGGCCTTTGGGTAGCCTAGAGAACTGAAGGCTAAAGCACAGTCCATCCTGGTTAAACCAGAGCCCAGCCCAGCTGTAGCAATCCCCTTGGTTCAAGCTCTGTCCGTCCCTCCATCTGACCTCCTTTGTCAGACTCCAGGTGAGAGCCCCCGCTTCCTTCCAGCAGCCAGCTCTGATCCCCCACCTCACATCTCCCCCGGCCTTTGTTCTCCAGCTGGGGGATTTTGCTCAGCCTTTCTGCTGAGAGGTGGGGAAATCTGTATCCCTCTGGGACATTGGCTGCTAGGTGTCACTGTCCTGGGGACTGGATTTGCCATTGTCTTCTCCAATGCTCCATTGCTATGGGGACCGGACCAGACCCAGATAGCTCGGTGACACCCACACCAACGTCTCCTGGCCTGCTCTGAGAGGCCTTTTCCACCCACTGGGTAATAACACAGCACATAGGGGAAACTGAGGCACATACTGGACTCATAAAAATATTACAGAACAGTCTCACTTCGTCACAGTAGACCAGGGCTACGTTTCAAGCCTGTTTGAATGTGCCGGTTAATTTTATAGCACTTTAAAAAATGGACTGCTTGTTGGCTTTCACTAGCTGAGATAAACTCATGTCAGTCCCTTGTTGATCCTGCCTCTATTTTTTCCCTATCTGCAGGGCAAAAATACACGATAAGGGAGCCAGCAAATTTTTAAATGAGGTAATTTTGGTGGGGCTGCATCTTAGGAACCTCCTGACCAACTGATCCCAATCTGGCATCACTAACTGTACCGGGATCCTCCGCTGGCACCATAACGTTCAGACCAATCTCCGTGTGCATGTGGATTGTGGAGCACTTTGAAAACTTGGCTGTAAACAGAAATCTCTGCAAGGGCTGCCTCATACTACATTTCCAGCCCCATCCGAAGGTTTATGTCAGGAGCGTTGTCAAAGCCGAGAAAAGAGACTTTATTTGTATTTTCAGTGACCTCTGAGATTCAGGTTTATGTTTCAATTCCCTCAAGCTGTGGGGTGTGAGGTATGTCTCTGTCAACATGTTACCAGGGCATGTCCTGGCAGAGGTGCAGGGAGGTCATATGCCTGAGTGAGAGAGGTGCCATGCGGCATGTGCCCAGGGGATCCCTTCTCCATGCCAGTGCTGCTCTGGGGCTGCAGTCTCTGTTACCTGGGACTCCTGACTTCTGCCATGACCTTGTGGTTTTGTTCTTTGCCTCCTGGTAGGCTGTGTGCAGTTCCTTGAACAGCCCACTATGGCTTTTGTCCGGCTGAATGAGGCTGTCTTCCTGGAATCTGTCCTGGAGGTCCCAATTCCGGTCAGGTTCATCTTTGTCCTGCTGGGACCCAGTCAGGCCAACGTCGATTACCACGAAATTGGACGGTCCATTTCTACCCTCATGTCTGACAAGGTGAGGCGCTGGGTGTGCATTCTTGCTAGAGCATGGGGAATGGTGGTATGGTGAGACAGAGGTCAGACACAGGACAGGAAAGCTGCAGAGACGCTGCACCAAGTCCCTTCTGGACAGGGGTTAGGGACAGGGAGCGCTGGGGGGCACAGGTCTTATCAGAGAAGCCAAGCCTGGGACAGGGAGGATGGCCCAGTACAAAAGAAAATCTTTTTCACTAGGAGGGTGGTGAAGCACTGCAATGGGTTACCTATGGAGGTGGTGGAATCTCCTTCCTTAGAGGTGTTTAAGACCCGGTTTGACAAAGTCCTGGCTGGGATGATTTAGTTGGGGATTGGTCCTGCTTTTGAGCAGGGGGTTGGACTAGATGACTTCCTGAGGTCCCTTCCAACCCTGATATTCTATGATTCTGTGAAAGAGAGAGACCAGGACAGACATCAGTCTGGGCCATCCTCCCTGTCCTAAAGTGCTAAATTGGGAGGTGAACACAAAAGGAGAGATCCCCAGAACCTTCATTCCAAGGGCAGGAGTGAAGGGGTCCTCAGAGGCTGGCAGAGGAGAAGAGGTCATTGTGCTCAGTTTGTGTGTACTTCCAACATCCAGCGCAAGGCAGGAGGGAGAGTGAAATGGCAGAGGAAGAATGAGAGGAGGGTTGATGCTTTTGTGTGTCAGTGCCCAATGCCTGGCACAGGGAACACGGACATCAAGAGCTAGAAGTGATAGTGACTGTTGCAGATTATTGTCTAACCGTAGATTCCAAGGACTGAATAACGTGGCAGTGAAACTCATTCTCTGACAAGGAATGACAAAGGAGAGACAATTATAGGCGCCTGCTACAGACATCCAGGGTTGGAGGAGAGTGAGAATGAAACATTCCTGGACTAGCTTTCAGCGTCCTCTTGGCTGCAGGAGATTGTACATAGGAAACTTTATATCCCCAGCTGTTTGCTGGGTAACAAACCCAGCCAGATCGGCGTCAGCACAGAGACTCCTAGGCTGCATGGAGTGCAGCTTCACGATCCAGACGTCAGGAGTCCATCCAAAGAAGCCTGGGGGATCTGCTGGTTATTGCTCAAGAGGGACTGATTGGGACTGAGAGATTAAGAGGGAAACTTGAGTGATTGGAGGGAGTTTGGCCGAATGCCCTGCGCTCGGCACTAGACTGTTCACGCAGAGCAGGTGGCTCCTTGGCTTCTGAGGGCTCTCAGCTGAAAGACACCACAGAGTGAGGTGCATGGGCCTGATGGGCCGAGCCCTGGACTGGGAACCGGGAGCCGTCATGTTCTAACCCTGGCTCTGCACTCACTTTCCGGGTGGCTCTGGGCTGTCCAGTTCCCTCTCCCTCCACTTCTCTGCCAGTGACCTGGGGAGGATGGTAGTGACCTGGCACACAGGTGTGAGGATTAGCTAGCTGGTGTTGGTGCCATGGTTTGGCCATGTCAAGTGCTGGGTATCAGAAGGCTGAAGGGCCAAGTTAGCCTTGCCAGGATCTGAAGCTGCAGCTCCATGGAGTCTGTAAGTTGCAGAGAGCTCAGCTGTCCCTGACCTCCTTAGAGGCTTCTAATTCCGGCCCAATTCCCCATCTCTTTCTCTGCAGACATGCTCTGAAAGCGGTGTAGTACCTCAGCCATTTCACAGTCCTCGTTAAACTCCTCCTTCCGTTGTTAATGGGCCTGCTTTTTTCCTTGCATTACTGTCTCCCCTGCTTTCTCTAAACTTCTCCACTTCCTTTAAGCCTCCGGGCAGCAGAAACTTAGGCATGGTTTACACTTGAAAGTTAGGTCGACATCACTACAGCTTGCAGAGGTTCACATCTCTGAGCTCCGTAGCTATGACAAGCTAACCCCAGTGTAGATGTGGCTAGGTCAGTGGAGGAGTGCTTCCATCGACCAAACTACCACAGCTCGGGGAGGTGGATAACCTACAGCAATGGAAAAACCTCTCCCGTGGCCAGAGGTAATATTTACGCTACAGTGGTACAGCGGCAGAACTACGGCACCACTGTAGAGCCATTAGGGTGACCAGATGTCCCGATTTTATAGGGACAGTCCTGATATGTGGGACTTTTTTTAATATGGACTCCTATTACCCCCTACCCCTCTCCCGATTTTTCACACTTGCTATCTGGTCACCCTAAGAGCCATAGTGTAGGCGTGGCCTTACTCTCCATTTTTCCTGCCCTTTCCTTGCAAGAATTCCGTCTGGCAGTTCCCATTTGGCTGCCTCCCCCATGTCCCTACACTCAGGTCTCTGAGAAGCCCCTGGCACCGACTGCCCCCTGTGCCTGGCATTCCAAGTTCTGTCATAGTTTCATGGAATTTAAGGCTAGAAGGAACCATGAACTCATGTGCTATCACCACTTGTATACCACAGGCAATTAAACTTCACCCAGATACCCCTTGTTAAGCCCCCACCCAGATACCCCTTGTTAAGCCCAAAGACCTTGGTTAGACCAAAGCATGCAGAAGGAGGCGACCTCCCTGATACGGTCTCGCATGATATTCTTATCGATAAACTAGGCAAATACAATTCAGCTGGGGCTACTATAAGGTGGGTGCATAACTGGCTGGATAACCGTACTCAGAGAGTTGTTATTAGTGGTTCCCAATCCTGCTGGAAAGGCGTAACGAGTGGGGTACCG